CCTTTGATGTGGAGCAGCGAGTTCATGAAATACGGCTTCATCTGCGAAATGTCATTACGGCTAAGGACTTTGCACATAAGTGTGCCTCGGGCATTACTCGACGTGAGATCCGGCTAATTCGTTGGATACCGCCCCCAGAGGGATGAGTGAAAGCAAACTCTGATGGCTCTTTTAACGGTTCCACGTCTGGCGTCCGCGGGGGGTTTGTTACGTGATTGCTTTGGCCGCTGGCTAGGGGGGTTTGTTATGAATATTGGATTCTCGACAATCACAGGAGCTGAACTGTGGGGATTATTTCAGGCACTATCTCTAGCTTGGGATATGGGGTTTCGTAGGGTGATCGCTTCAGTTGATAGCAAGTGTGGTTAACATGATTGAGGGCCCCCATGGTGGGGTAAGAGCGAATGGAAGTTTGATCCGAGGTGTTCGGGAGCTTATCGCTAGAGATTGGGAGGTGCGCCTTATCCATGATTGGCGTGAATCAAATTTTGCGGCAGACTCGTTGGCCTCTTTGGCTGCGCGCAGCCCTGATGGGCTTCATGTGTTGCAAAACCCTACGGGTGACGTTAAACCGTAGCTGGAACACGATATCATCGGTGTTTCCCACCCACGGAACGTAGTAGCTGTGTGATCCTTTTTCTTATTAGGCTATGCCTCCTTTTATGTACCAAAAACAAAAAAAAAAAAAGTAAGGCTGTTTTTTATTTTTTTACAAATCAAAATCATCCAAATTTTTTTAATTTCAAAAATATTTGGCAAGTTTGTTAATGAGATAAATCAAGTTAGACAAATGATTAATAAGTTAAAATATTATATTAGTTATATTATAAGAAATCCGACTATATAAATGTTTGATAAAAGAATATTATACTAATTAGTTTGTTAGGAATGTGATTATATGGAAGTTAAGATAAAATAAAATATAACCAAAAAATCTGTTCGGTCTTTTCCTTTAAATGTTTGAATTTAAAAATCTAATAACCAAATTTAGATTATATCACACAAGGAAAAAATAAAAATAATGTTTATGAATATAGTAAAAAAAAATTATTTTTGAATTTCAAATAGAGTAACAGACGGAATACTTCAAATTTGTTTTCAAAAACTTTTTAAAGTGTTTAATATTCTGGTAAGTATACCGGTAAGAATAACCTTACTATTTTAATTTCAAAAAGTTTTCCAAGTTTGTTAATGAGATAAATTCAGTTAGACAAAAGATTAATTAGTTAAAATATTATATTAATTATATTTTGAAAATTGTGGTTAGATAAATGTAAATATTAATTAGTTTGTTAGGAATGTGATTATATGGAAGTTAAAATAAAATGAAATGTACCCAAAAATTTGCTTGTGATATTTTCCTTTAAATGTTTGAATTTAAAAATCTAATAACCTAATATAGATTATATCACGTAAGGAAAAAATAAATAATAAACATTTATTAAAGAGATAAATCAATATTGTTTATCACTTAAATGATAAATAATAAACATTTACACGCAAGAAAATAATAAATAATAATATATGTACAAATATAAATTAGAATTTCAAATAAATTAAAAGGAGGGATAACTCATTTTTTTTAAAAAACGTTTCTAAATGTTTAATATATTGGTAAGTATCTCCGTAAGAATAATCATACCATTTTAATTTCAAAAAAAAAAAAAAAATTGACAAGTTTGGTAGAGAGATAATTTCGGTTAGATAATTTTGGTAGAGATAATTCCAAAAAACCTGCTTGTGATCTTTATCTTTAAATGTTTGAAATTAAAAATCTAATAACCAAATTTAGATTATATCACGTAAGAAAAAAATAAATAATAAACAATTATTAAAGAGATATATTAATAATATTTATCCCTCAAACAATAAATAATAAATATTTACACGTAAAAATAAAATAAATAATAATATATTTAATATATAACTTAGAATTTCAAATAAAGTAAAAGGATAGATAATTCATTTTTTAAAAAAAGTTTCTAAATGTTTAATATATTGGCAAGTATCTCCGTAAGAATAATCATACCATTTTAATTTCAGAAAAATTAGCAAGTTTGTTAGAAAGATAAATCCGGTTAGATAAATGATTAGTTAGATAAAATGTTATATTAATTATATCATAAATAAATCGGTTAGATAATGAAGATAAAAATATATCATTAATTAGTTTGTTAGGAATGTAATTATATAAAAATAAAATTAAAATGAAATTTACCCAAAAAATCTGTGTAGGATCTTTTTATTAAAATATTTGGATTTCAAAATTTAATATCTAATTTAGATTATATCACATAAGGAAAAGATAAATAATAAATATTTATTAACTTTTTAAAATATGTAATTTTGAAGTTCATATAAAGTAAAAGGTATGATAATTCAAATTTATTTTTAAAAATTTTTCTAAAATAATTAATATTTTAGTAATTACATCCGTAAGAATAATCGTATAATTAGTTAAGTAAAATAATATATTAATTATATCTTAAAATACCCGATTAGATAACTTGGATAAAAAAACATTATATTAATTAGTTGTTAAGAATGTGTTTATATGGAAGTTAAGATAAAATGGAATGTACCTAAAATATCTGCTTGTAAATGTTCGAATTTAATTTTTCTCAAAAAATTAAAAAAAAAAAAAAATGAATAAGAATCATGGGTGGGATGCTATCAAAATTTCAAAAAAAATCCTTTATTAGTGAAAAACGAAAAAAAGTGAGCGGGATACTTACATACTATTTTTTGTATTTTTTTCTTCTCTCAATTAACTCTATTATATAGTAATAGATTCAAAGCATATATTATTTGAATACTATTATGTATACAAAATCCAGATGTTAAAAAATTAATTAGGTACTAAAATTATAATTAAATATAATATTTAAAAAAAAAGGTTCCAAGTAGTTTAAAGTCACTATGAAGAGCTTTAATATTTATTAAAAAATGATTCTATAATATATTAATGAAAAGAAAAAACATAATCTATCTGTATCAACAAATCTTTTTAGATGTGCTAAAAAAATCAATAATTTCTTTTGGACATGCTCCAAAGAAAAAAAAAAAAAAAAGTCATATTTTCTATCTAAGTTTGTAAGGTAATTTTATTGTTTCATAATATTATAGGACAATTATATTATAAAAAATATTCAATCATTATCTTTTTCTTTTTGATTTTTGATTCGTATTATTTTGGATTCTAATTGCTTATTTAAGTATAATTTTAAATAACATAATTCCAATCATTTTAGTGGTATATTTAATTACGAATTACTGTAATTTTTTATTCTTTTGGTAACCAACCATACAATACGCTCTCAAAAAGTATCTATTTAATAGTTTTTTTTTTTTGGGAAAATATTATTTAAATATGAATGACAAAATTGCAAATATAATTACAATATAAAAATTAAAAATTAGTTATTGAAATTCTATTATGATATTTATTACAACGTTACAATAGAATCTTATATCAACTTAATAACAAATCACAGTAATTTCTTATTCATTTGCCAACCAACCATATACCAAAATATTTTTTATCCTACCTTCAAAAAGTCCCTTAATCAAAATGATTAACTTAAAATCTTTTGATTTATCAATAACTCAACCGATTCAATTTTTACAAGTTGTAAACGCCATTTTCACAATATAAAA